GGGGTGCAGGAGGGGTGTGGGGTGCGACAGGGGGCTCAGGGCAGGGGGTTGGGGTGCCGGAAAGGTGCGGGATGCAGCGGGAGCTCAGGGTTGGTGTGCAGCAGGGAGTTGGGTTGTGGGAAGGGGCTCAGGGCAGGGAGTTGGGGGGCAGGGTGCAGGAGGGGTTCGGCTAAAGCATTTTCCAGAAAGGTCTCCAGCCTGGATCTGGAGACATCAAGAGATGCAGAATCCACCCCTTCCTTTGGGAGTTTGTTCCAGTGAGTAAGGCACACATTTATACCTGTGAGGGTGATTATTTCTCATTGGAATTCAACTGGCTTCCGCTTCCAGCCAGTGGTTCTTGTTCTGCCTGTCTCTGCTAGAGTAAAGAGTCCTTTAGTACCTGGTATTTTGTCCCCTGAAGGTCCTGCTGCACCATAATCCTGTCATCTCTCAATCTGCTTTTGGATAAGTGGAACAGACTGAGTTCATTAAGGCTCTCCCTCAAAGGCCTCAAATAATTTTTGTGGTTTTATTCTGCATCCTCCCCAATTTTTCAACATCCTTTTAAAATCTGGACACCAGCCCTGGATGCAGTATCCAGTATACAGGTAACCCCGCCCCTCCTTTTCCTTACACGCTACTCCCGTTTATACATCCAAGACTGCCTCAGCCCCTTTTGCCCCAGCCTTGTGCTGGCAGTTCATGTTGAGGGCTGAGGGTATGTCCCCCTCTCACTTCCCTGTGCCACACAAAGCACAATTAACCAAAAGACAGCCCTGAGTTCTGCAGGCTTGAAAAAGAGATTCAATATTTGTTCGGAAAATGAGGACATCCTGAGCGACATGAAGGAGAGTTAAAAACACATCCCAGGCTTCCTCACAGCGGATCAGTTTGTGCTGCAAGCCAGCGGGACTCAAATGCTGTTTTAAGAAGAAGCGGGGAGTGATGGGGTCAGGCCCAGGGGCAGTGGTGTGAGTGATTATAATAGCCGCATGGGGGTGGGTGATGGTAATTAATCAAAATAATTGTTCATGCTAATAATAAGTCTGTGGCGGGAATATCAAGGATTGGGATCTACGTAACACCCCACGATTGGCACATGATGATGAAATACTGCATATTCCAACAGTAATTCCAGAAGATGTTAAACTCTTAGACATTTTTAAATCAGCATGTCTAGAGAACTTGCAACCAAGAGTTTTAAAAGAGCTATCCAAGGAGTTAGTTGGGCCATTAATATTGATTTTTCAACTAATAATGTGCCAATATTTATAAAGGGTAAATGCCATGACCAAGTTACACCTCTACCCTGATATAACGTGACCCGATATAACACTAATTCGGATATAACGCGGTAAAGCAGCTCTCCGGGGGGGCGGGGCTGCGCACTCCGGCGGATCAAAGCAAGTTCAATATAACACGGTTTCACCTATAACGCAGTAAGATTTTTTGGCTCCCGAGGACAGCTTTCTATCGGGGTAGAGGTGTAGTTATAGGCCTGTCAGCCTGACGATGCAAGGCAAAATAATGGAGCAGCTGATAAAGGCCTCTATTATGAATAAAGAATTAAAGGAGGTAACATAATTAATGGCAATCAACATGGGTTTATGGAAAACAAATCCTGTCAAACTAATTTATTGCTTTCTTTCATGAGATTACAAGTTTGATATAAGTCACTGTTGATTTAATATACTTAAACCTCTGTAAGGTATTTGACTAGGTATTGCAGGACATTTTGATTAAGAAACTAGAACAATACAAAATCAACATGGCACACATGAAATGGATTAAAAGTTTGCTTACTGATAGGCCTCAAAATATAATTGTATAGGGGGAAGGTCTGTTTCCAGTGGCCTCTGCAGGGATCAATTCCTGGCCCTGCACTATAACATTTTTATCAATGACCTCGAAGAGAACATAAAAGCACCAGTGCAGCTGACGAGGACAGGTCACCTGATGCAGAGCTATCTGGATTGCTTGATCAGCTGAGCACAAGCAAACAATATGCATTTTAATATGGCCAAATATAAAGTCAGACATCTGGGAACAAATAATATAGGCTGTGGTTACAGGATAGGGGACTCTATCCTGAGAAGCAATGACCCTGAAAAGATTTGGGTGTCATGATGGACAATCATTCAGACATGAACTCCCAGTGCAATGCTGTGACTAAAAGGGTTAATGTGATCCCTGAATGTATAAATGGGACTATCGAGTCAGAGTAGACTAGTTATATTACCTTTGTATTTGGTACTGATGCAACTACTGCTCGAATCTTGTGTCCAGTCCTGGTGCCAACAATTCAGAAAGGATGTTGATAAATTAGCAAAGGTTCAGAGAAGAGCCACAAGAATGATAAAAGGATTCGAAAACACGCCTTATAGTACGGACTCCAGGAACTAAATCTAGTGAGCTTAACAAAGAGGGTGACATGAACACAGTCTATAAGTACCTACGTGGGGAATAGAAATTTAATAACAGAGAGCTCTTCAGTTTAGCAGAGAAGAGGCAATGACATGAAACTGCAGTTAGGCCTTGTCTATACTGCAGAGTTTTTTTGTTTTTTGCCAAAAGGCAGCTTTTGGTGATGAAACAATACTGCAAGGCCACTTTCGGTGACAAAACTCTTCAGTTTTGGTGACAAAATAAAACCACCTAAACGAGAGTCATAGGGCCTTTTAACAAAAGTATTGTCACCAAAGTGCCAGTGTAGACACCACGCTTGATTTTTATCACCTGGCCTCCAGAAGGTGTCCCACAATGCCCATCCTGACCGCTCTGATCAGCAGTTCCAATTCCACTACCCTGCAGCCAGGTAAGCAACTGTCCACCCCTCCTCCTTTAAAGGCCTGGGAAATTTTGAAATTCCACTTCCTGTTTGCTTGGTGTGGAAAGCTCACATCACATCATATCTTCCCAGCTGACCATGGCGGTTCCATGCGGCAAACGCTCTCCCGTTTGGACTAATGTGGATCTGCTGAGCAGGGCCGGCTCCAGGGTTTTGGCTGCCCCAAGTAGCCAAACAAACAAACAAAAAAGCCGCGATTGCAATCTGCGGTGGCAATTCAGCGGGAGGTTCTTCGCTCCGAGCAGGAGTGAGGAACCATCCGCTGAATTGCCGCCGAACAGCTGGATGTGCCGCCCCTCTTGAAGTGGCCACCCCAAGCACCTGCTTGGTAAGCTGGTGCCTGGAGCTGGCCCTGCTGCTGAGTATTTGGGGAGAGGAGGCTGTGCAGTCACAGCTGCACTCCAGCCATAGGACTTTTGATACCTACAGGCAGATTTCTCAAAGCTTGGTGCGTCCAGTCAGGAGCTGTTCTCCACTCCAAAGATATCTAGCCAGTCTTGGCAGTCACACTGCAGCGAGCAAGAAGCAGGAGCAGAGTCCCCCTGATAAGTAGTTTTGCTTTGTGAAGGGCTGAGGTGGGTTGAGGGCATAGAAATGGCTATGTTTCTGTGTGCTAGACATTTCCCTGTGCAGCTAAGCAGTACGATGGAGATACTTGGCAATCCTCTGTTGAAGGTTTCTTGGCAGAGCTGCTTTGTTCCTTCCCCCATTGAAGGAAACTTTCCCACGCCGTTCTGCAATCACTTGTGCAGGGACAAAGGGGCACCCAGGTGAGCAGCATAGGGATCGGGGCGGAAGCCACAAGCGTGTAGTAGATGCACCCTTGCTTCCCTGCTTACCCTCAGGAGTGAGATAGCTGGTATGAGCCCCCCCCCGTGGAAAAGGTTGGAAAATTTAGAATATTGTCCCTAGTCAACTGTACCACAACCGTTTCATATTGATTTTCTCCCCACATACAATGCCCCCTGCCCCAGGGTACACTCACCACGTTTGGGCTGTTGGCTGGCATTTGGTCAGTGAGAAAGTGATTGGTATGTTACTAGAGGTGTATTTTACTGTACTGTTTCAATGCTGTGCGCATATTTAATCATGCTTCTGTGTATTGTTCCTTGTGCTTCTGCAGATGTGGCCTTCAGAGGCATCCCCTACACACCGGCAGAGCACCTCCACCAGATAAGAAAGCATCCAAGATGGAGCAAGGAAGACATGTTCCAGGAGGTGCTGCAATAATCAGATGCAGAAAAGAGGGAACGCAGGCAGTGAAGGGAAATGGAAAGGCTGGACAGAAAAGAAAATGAGGCTTTCATTAGGGATGCAATGGAGAGGATGATTAAAGTTATGGAGAAGCAAACTGAGATGCTTCGGTCCCTCATAATACTCCAGACTGAGCAGATGGGTGCCTGCCCTTCCCTTCAGCACATTCAGAACTCTTTCCCATGCCCTCCCCAAACTCCACCCGCAAATTCCTTTCCACAGTCTGGGACTTCTCGTTTTCCTGTTCACTCCATCCCCACGGACACCTTTTCAAATGATAGCTGGACTAACACACAACTCTGAAAGTCAGCCCTCCCCAGTACCTCTTCCCCCTCCCCAAAGCGTGTGTGTGTGCTGGTGTAGTTTTTTGTGCAATAAAAGCAAAATTTTTTGAATGATAAGCACTTTTTATTTGTTTCCTGGAAATTGTGACAGGAGATGGCAGCAACAAGTAAACAAGCAGTTTAATCATTTGCTTACATTGAGTCCTAGGCCACAAAAATCACAAGTACTTCCTTGCAAAACTTGAAGGTGGAGAGCTGAACTGAGGGGTAGCTCCCCACAATGCATTGCTTTGTTGATGCTACTGCCCCCAGTGTGGATGTGCTCTGCTGACAGAGGAAGACAACATGAAACAACAATTTTCTTTTAGCGCTTTTTGATCATTGACAAAACTTTCGGTGAAAAAAAACTCTGCCAGCGTAACCATGGCCTTAGATTGGCTAGAAGTGAGGTGTGAACTTTTAACAGGGAGGGTAATTAACAACTGGGTCAGTTTCCCAAGGGTCCTGACCGATTCTACTCCACTGGCAGCTTTTAAATCAAGACTGGATATTTTTCTTAAAGAGCTGATCTAGTTCAAATAGGCATTAATTCAAGGCAGTCCTATGGCCTGTGATACAGGAGGTCAGAGGAAATAATTGCAGGGTCTGTTCTGGCATGGCAATCTGTGACCATCTCAAATATCTTCTGGCCCCCACACGTGCCCTTCTGCCCCCCTCCCCCAACTCCACCCCCCACGTGCCCCTCTGCCGCCCTCCCCCAGCTCCACCTCCCACCGGATGCTCTGCCCCCTAGCCCAGCTCCACCTCCCACCGGATGCTCTGCCCCTAGCCCAGCTCCACCCCCACATGTACCCTTCTGCCCCCCTCCCCCAGCTCC